AATAGGCTCAAACTATAATGGTTGATAAGACTTCAAAGTTGCCTAAAGGTTTTCCAGTTTAATTGACCAAAACAGCAGCCACTTTAGTACTGCAAGTCTGGTGTTTCATTTTCCATGGATACATGGAATCATACCCTAACATGGATAAGCAGCACGCTCAATGTTTCATCCCTCCACTGCCAGCACTAGTAATCTTGTTTATTTTCTTCATCAGTCTGTTACACAATCTGCTCCAAGCAGAGAATCTGTTAAATGCAATATCTTTTATATTGCTTTTCTTACTTGATAAATCAGGTTATTTATGATTTTGAGTGCTACTAAAGCTTCAATGGATTATGGAAATATATTGGACAGCAGTGCACACATAATATCTTAAAATATATAGGCTTGTATATCTAAAAGATATATATTATGGCCCAGAGATGGCCTTCGATGGGCAAGAAAGAAAATGCACCACGTTGTATAGACATGACAGGTAGGAGGCAGAAGACGCACACTCATAAAAGCATAAAACATTTACAATCTTTGTCTTTTTAATTATATGAATCAATGTTTCAGTACATAAAGGCCTTCTTCAGGAAAAAATCCTGGACTTGTCTCAATGACATACGTGCATTGTTTGGGACTGGTGATTCAAATCAATGAGTTCACAGGGCTGTTACACAAACAATACTTTATGTATTGTATTAAAAATTCAATTCTATATGTTTTATTCTCTGGAAAAATGTAAGTGTAGAACGATTTACATTTGGGTGCCTTAGCATAATGATTAAAAATTAATGTTGCCTTAAATCACCTACATGTGGAATATTTACATCAATATATCATTATCAGATTAATTTTGACAGTACCGTCTGATGGCCACAAAAAAAACACATGTAAGTCACGCAAAATGCACAAAAAAAAAACTTGTAAAAAGATAGAGCCTTAAACAAAACATAAAAACACGTAAAGATAACCTTGACTTACAGTACATAGAGACCAGGAGACAGGACTAAGTAATACTGACCCATTCTGTGTCACACATAACTGTTAGTATCTTCCAGACAATTCTTATCTCTGTAGCTCCTTATGAGGATTTTAATACACAGGGACTTCCATTGTTGAGAGCAATTCTCAAAGAAAACATCAGGGAGACAATAAAACACACGGCACAGAGACTGCACGGGAAACTCAAGGGAAAATATCAGAACAGAGATGCTGGAGCGATTTGCTTTCAGGGATTTCATTTTTGTTGCCAAGATCCCAGAGTGTTTTTAAAATAATAGTCTTTGTCATCAGCCACTCTCCCGAGCACGACACTGAAACCACACAAAAGAAGCGATGAGCATTTCACATCTCTAAATGTCTGTAACCAAAAGATGAAGTACCACTCTACATAACGCTTCACTCCCGGTGCCGGGTCACATTAATTAATGGGGTAATCTCCCTCTCGTTTTTTGGCTTAAACAGTTTCATGTGACGATTACCACTTTAACACGATGGATAAAAAGCTGTTTCAGGCCTCAAACTGGTGGCTTTATTAAAAGTACTGAGATTAAGTATCAAATGACTTTAACAACAGATTTAGGTGAAAGTAACGTGTGCAACCTTTGACAGTAACTACATTTACTTTTATTCTGACAATAATCAGAATTAGAGCTCAATCAGATTCCCATTAACACCATCAGAAAGAGGATGATCTCTCAGAAGGATACATGTTAAACATTTCAGAACCATTAAAAAGATAAACATTTGTCTTATTTTGTTTATTTCTTCCTGTTTTGGGAAACCTATAATCATTCCTATGTATGTTTACCAACTTGGGTTAAGTCCAAGTTGTCCCCCTAGGAAGAGTCTTTCTCAAGGGAAGGCTCACCTTCTGTTCAATAACTCCAGCAGTAGCGTATGTTTTACTTCAATGGACACACATAGCAGGTAACCAATACAAGTTCTCGCTTGAAATAGGTCCATCTGTATGAGATTATTTCTTTTGATGGAGTGCTGGATTTGGTGTATTGTACATATTACAGTAAGGCAATTTGTCTCGGTGCACCTGTTGTGATATTCCTTTAGGTTTTTTCTACATGAAATTCGAGTTTCTGTAGATATATCAGTAAGGATGATGAGACTGAGTACAGGGCTGTGGTGTGGGACTTTGTCACATGGTGTGAGCAGAACCATCTGCAGCTCAAAGTGTCAAAGACTAAGGAGCTGGTTGTGGATCTAAGGAGAGCCAAAGCACCAGTGACCCGTTTCCATCCAGGGGATCAGTGTGGACACTGTGGAGGACTACAAATACCTGGGAGTGCACACTGACAATAAACTGGACTGGGCCAAGAACACTCAAGCCCTCTACAGGGTGGGCCAGAGCTGTCTCTATTTTCTGAGGAGGCTGAGGTCCTTCAACATCTGCCAGACAATGCTGAGGATGTTCTATGAGTCTGTGGTGGGCAGTGCTATACTGTTTGCTGTTGCATGCTGGGGCAGCAGGTTGAGGGTAGCGGACGCTAACAGACTCAACAAACTGATCCGCAAGGCCAGTGACGTTGTGGGAGTGGAGCTAGACTCTCAGGTGTCAGAGAGGAGAATGCTGCCCAAGTTACATATCATCTTGGACAATGTCTCCCACCCACTCCATGACGTGCTGGTCAAACACAGGAGCACTTTCAGTGCAAGACTCGTCCCCCCAAATTGCACCACAGAACGCCGCAGGAAGTCATTCCTGCTTGTGGCCATGGGACTCTTTAACTACTCCCTCAAAGTGTCTAACACAGGCCCTTAGTTAGTTATTAAACTACACAGTGTAGTGCAATATTCTCTGTTTTACATTTATTCATTTAGCTGACGCTTTTATCCAAAGCAACTTACAATTGCTATATATGTCAGAGGTCGCACACCTCTGGAGAGACTAGGGATTAAGTGTCTTGCTCAGGGACACATTGGTGGATGGCTCGCAGTGGGAATTGACCCGGGTCTCTCACACCAAAGTCTTATCCATTGCCACGTTTTAATCAATGTGCAATATTCTCTGCTGCTTATTATTTCTTTTTCTAGATGTAATGTGTGCAACTGTAACACAAGAATTTCCCTTTGCCAATCAATAAAGTATTTCTGATTCTGATTTCTGACTGATATTTACCTGTTGTGAAAATACCTTTGGTATATTATAGCAAAATCAAATAAAATGGTACAATTTGGTCTTTAAGACAATTTAATTTTTTTAGGTCTCATTTGGGACAAGCTGATATGACATGTATTATTCCATTAAATCTCTAATATCCCACACATTTGGGAATAGCGCATTATCATTGACAATTCTGTCTTTTAGCCTCCTTCCTTCCAAATGTCATGTGGAAATATGTCTGCACCCAACTAAAGCAAGACCAGTAGTGTGGATGAGTATATGCCCCTGCATCAGCAAATCTCAGATACATGTTTATCTGGGTGTTTGTGCATACGAAATGATGTAAAGATGCACCAACAAAAACAAAACAAGAAACCCCAATAACAAAAATATGTATGTATGCAGCAGAGTACATTGTGATTTGGACCTACAGTGTATTCGTACTTACTATTTGTCCTTCTCCCTCCATTTTCCTACTGTGTCTAAAGGACAAATTAAATCAGTGGCAAACAGGTAGAAAGGTAAGGATAAAAAAACTGTTACTGTGTGTGTGTGCGTGTGTGTGTGTGTGTGTGTGGATACAGTACACTTGTCCATTTGTGTGAGCTGGAGAGAAACCAACGGAACAGAACTGGGACATTCAGTCGCAAAGCAGCAGAAATCTGAAACCAGGTCAGCCACTGATCCACTGAGAAACAGTTCCATATGTGACAGGTTGTCCACCCTTAATTAAGCTCTCAGATCTTCTCCATATTTTATCATGGTCATTCATATTCATCCTTACTGTAGTTGTGGATGTTGACAAGATTGTCTCCATTGAAAGAAAATGTTGACAAGTGCTTGTACAGTTAGGCACAATAAATCTCACAGCATGTATGTTGTACTTTGTTTCCATGTATTGTTGTACATGTTAACAATACCCATAACACTCACTAATGTTGTCTACATTGCGGTGGCACATTTTAGCAAACTAGTTAACTCCCATTATTTAGGGATATTCTAATTTTGTATCTATGTAACGTGAAACTTCAGAAAGCGTTCACTAAAGGTTGTTTTTTTCCCCCCTCCAGGTATGCAGTTTTTCCTTTTTTGTCGTACTACTTTTACTGCAAGTGGAGTTTTTGGTCAACCACTCTGGCTTCCGAAAATGTAGTAACAGAAAACATAATGGAACATATGACTTTTTAATGTATATTTTTTTCTTACGTTTGTGTGATACAGTAATAGATAGTTGAGAGAAGACCAGAAATCAGGATGACTTACACCAAAGATCTCCAACCAAATTCGAACCAGGGACATTAAAATTAGATGCTCCACATCTTAGACCACTAGGCCAGCGTGACGCCCCCACATCACATTTTATAACACAGAGTCAAAACATGCCAGCATGAGCTAAAAATCCACTGTTGTTGCACAATAAACACTGGCACCTAGGAGTTACAATAAGTGGCTATAGTTTTTCCACTGGACTGTTCTTACTGAATTATGCTGCAGATGACGGTGTAGACCTGTGTGTGTGTGTGTGTGTGTGTGTGTGTGTGTGTGTGTGTGTGTGTGTGACAACAGGGGGCTTGAAACGTCTTCACAGATAAACAGTCAGTGCCAACAGGGACAAGTGAGCCACTGCATACAGTAGCTGCTAATGTGTAGCATGCAGAGTTAATGTGGTAAATGAATGTGAAAACAGCCTTCTATCATTCTGCACTGTTAAAAGTCAAAACACCAAGTGAACAATCAGCACAGCCCATTTTTTGAGGGGAGGAAAGAAAATTAATTAGATGTTGTCAGACGTTCTGCGTTATTGCCCCAAGGGCCTGGCACTAAGGCAATATAAATATACTGTGTATTCATTTAAACACTAACAGCAAGACTGTCAGACAAACATTGGACTCACCCTCCTTTGATGTAATCCAGGAAGGTGTGCTCTGACTCCACATTGAATGACAACAAGGACACCTGAGGGGAAAAAAGAAGGTCCAACCAGATCTCATCTCTATCCGTCTCATGCTTGGTAATTAAGGAAAGCAAAATCTACCAATCTACACATTAACACTGACCTCTGAGCTAACCACCCACAAAATGACTTATCTACACAGAGTGATTTTGACGCCTGGGCAGCATATTAGAGGATGGATGGATAACTAGCCGCAGATTTTAATTACAGAGTCACCGCATACAGCAAGAGCAGCCAAAGTACTCAGGCAGTAACAAAGCTCTGGCTCGTTTCTAAACATCCATCACTACTCCTCACTAATACGACACAGACAAGAGTCCCTTTATGCATTACTATGGACTTGGTTATTCACCCTGTTTGAGGCCACAAAAAAAAGGTTCCCCATCTACTTATATTCACTTTCTGGATCAGAAGCCCTGAGACTGGGAATGGAACAAAAACATTTAACAGAGCTGAACTGCCTCATGCAATCCACTTAGAGGAAAAGTCCAGATGAATGCAAAAGCAGAGGAGGGCAGGGGTGTGAGTGCACAAGGAAATTTGCTCTTATCTCAGAACTCAAGACTCACCGTCCCGGAGTTGATGTATCTCTTTTTCTTTATTTTCTTCTTGGCATTCACCACCTGGTATGACAGCAGAATAGGAAAGAAGGGTAATGATAATGTAAACTTGGGGCACAATTCTTTTTATCCACCCCTGGGCAAGTAATAAATACATCTTCGTCCTCCTCCTCCATGTCTGTAAAGGTAATGGAGCATAGGGACTGAATCCAATAACTGCAGTAGGTGAGAATGAGATAGCATTGATCATGCCTCGCAGCAAGATACAGATTATTCAGGGGGATTTTTATAAGCACCTACACTGTGCAGTACATTTTACATACACATTACCAAGTTTGGGGATGGTGGAACACATATCTCTGTCCCAACTATTTACTTGTAATAAACAAAATGATAACCATATACAGACTGAATTACAAAGTATGCAAATTCACCAGTATAATGTATAATAATATTTAATGTGGGCAAACACATACAAATAAACAAATCTAGGTGTGATAAGTAAGGCGAGCTGAGAAAGACCGATAACAGAACTCCCTGCTTTAAATGAATGTTACATTAAGAGCTTGCAGCCAAAAGCATATGTGCAACACTAAGCCATCAAGGTCAACTATCTCTACTGCTTAATCTATGGGTCTGTGCGCAAACATAAAGCACAAGCCTGGAGGAAAATGTGCTGTATAATAAAGTAAAAGGTATCCCACTCTCTTCCTTTGTCCTCCTCCCTACGGCCTCCTCTCCTCCATTCTGCCTCTGTGGTTTCTGAGGCTACTCCTCAACTCCTCCAACACAGATGATGCCTCTTAGCATCCTGGTCATCACTCAGTCACTGCCGGGTTTCACATTACATCACACAGACATCACACTCAATTATCTGTGATCTGCTGTCATGTTGACCCTCATGGCGAATGTTTGCGGGCCCACCGTGCATGTCAGGATGAGCACACAGGAATTGAAACGCTGCAGCCAGTGACCTATGCTTTATTCGTCAACAGTCAAGAGGTGGCTTCATGTAGCTTTTGACCACATCTTGAAACTGATTCAAGGGCGGTGACCTGGCAAAGACTGCGTGAAGAAACTGCCATGTTTCAGTTTCTAATTAAAATACAGAAAGGTTTGGTGAAGGGTAATGGATGCATCATCTTCTGCCATGTCAGCAGTGTGAAAGGGCAACTCTGCATGCCACTCACCAATTCTGTCTCTCCCTCTCACTCTGTCTCTCCTTACCTATCCCCACCTAGCCACCATACTCTCTCTCTCTCACTCTCTTCGTTGGCCCTGTTCTTTCCTTAAGCCACCTCCATGACTAATTCAGAGGCTAATGTAACATGGCAAGTGTTTTAATGAGCAGGGAGCGATAGCAGCCTCCCAGCGCCTAACAGTAATACCCAATCTGACCCTCCAAGGGCCATCCAAAAAAAAACTTTAATCAGCAGCACAGGTCTGTTGTGTTACCATTTGTATTCTCACCACAGAAACACCCTTCCTCATCTGGTCTGCTGCAACACTTAACCTCTGAGATGTTTGATTCACTGTAGGGTGAGGAGAGACAGAGGAGGCAAGCTGGTAATATCAATTGGCCACAACTGTGGCTCGTACAACCATAACCAAAGTCATTAAACTTTGAATAACAAGACCTTGCTGAGCCAAAGGAAGCACTAATTTGATTTTAAATCTAAGCAGGTTTCTCACACTGGCACCAAGAAATGGAGCTTAGGTTTGTTTTTGTGCCCTGGCAGAATAAGCTTTATCCATAAGTGCATCCGCACCTTATTCATTAATAGGTTGCTCACTGCTCTGTCCAGCCACAGTATGCACTATGTGCTTCACTTGACTTGAAACATGTGGGCATGGCACAATGTGGACGCACAAAAATCTTATATTGCATTAACACACATATACATATATATATATATATATATATATATATATATATATATATATAGTTTACAATCAGATCAGTTCAATACCCTGCTTCGTCAGGCGTACTTGAGCACTTAGGCTTAGTGTATGAATGTGTGTGAATGGTGAATGCAATGTAGTGTAAAAGCACTTAAGCTGATGATACACAGAGCAACTTTTAGAGCAATGGTGCTGGGCAATGCTTCCGTCAATGTTAATGAGTAAAGGTTACTATTGTAATACCCTTCCCCCATCACTCTGCCACCCGCCCCACCTCACCACTATCCGTTCAAAACATAGTCGGACTTGCCACCAACAAAATTGCCCAGCAACATTGCTCAAAAAGTTGCCACGTGTATCATCAGCTTTGGAAAGGTGCTATACAAATATGGAGCATTTACATTTAGAACAACATTTAGAACAACATTTTTCTGGATAAGTTTAGATAGAGTCTTAAACAAGGTTTTAAACAGAGTTAAACTATTAGTCAAATAAAATGTGTAACTACAAGCACCGTTTAAAAGAAGGTCCTCTGCTCTGAGGGGAAACAGAGAGGGCAATGACAGTATCTCCACTCACCTCGTAGACATTTAACTGGCTCTGGCCGCGACACAGGTCTTTGTAGCTGCTGATGAATTCACCGATGAAATCGTGGCTGGAAAAAAAAGAAAAAAACTGCATCACATACTGTTCATTCAGATACGGGAGGCACCACCCTGAGAGGGAGAAGATAAAAGTAGCTGGAGGAATTACACTGCAGCCACTGATACACAGTTGGAATCTGTATTATAATCAGTTAATGGAAAAATCTATAGCAATTACGAGGAAAAGATTATGAATGTGATGAAAATGTAATTTATGAAGGAGTAGAAACTTCATAGAGACAGTGGTGCAAGACAGTGGGGAAAATTTCATAAATGACAATCCATTACCTCCCGTCTCTGTCCCAGTCATACACCTCCACCTTGATTGTCCTGTACAACATATCAAAAGAGAGGATTTGTGTGTGTGTGTGAGCATATTTATGTAACTACCTAAATGTCCTTGAGGAGATACTTCACAGAGATCATTTTTGAAATGATGCAGCAAAAAACAGGCTATTAAAGCGTACTAAATCAATAAAAGCGAATCTGCTCTGTGTATTGCATGCAAGAGATGCAAATGGTTGTGACTCCAGTCTTCCCTGTGTTTTTCCCTTTCCCCAGTGTCCCTTGTGTGTTTTTGTCTGTGTGTGTGCTGTGGGGGAGGTGCTTATTCACTTTCCCTCCTGGCTCCCGGTTACCTACTTATTACACACACCTGCCTCTCATTAAGCTCATCACGTCGCAGTGTATCGACCTCGGTTCAGCTATTCATCACCAAATCGTTTTTCTGCTGTAATAACGCGCTTCAGGCTTCTCGCATTACTTTGTGGTTCAGTATTTCCTTGTGAATTTTTTCCTCATGTGATTCTCCCCACCTAATTATGTTTCTTCTTGTGCTTCAGGACCACACCACTCCGCCTGCCTGCTTGCTCTCAACCAGCTTTCCACCAACCATTTCATGCAAGCCACACCATTCCTACTCACTCATCCACCCAGCTCCGGTCTCCTCAGCCATTGCTAAGTCCTCTTCTCTTGCCTTTGCCTAGCTGCCTCTCTGCTCGCTCCATCTACATTCCCCTTTCAATAATGCATTTTTTTTAAATTCATCTACTCCAGAGTTTGTGTCTGCTGTGAGGTCCAACCCTGCAACATGATAACATTTCTGAGGATCTAATAAGGGTGATAAAAATGAGTTAGAAGCTGGACTGTGCTGCAGACCGAGACAGGTCAGTTTTTAAAATACATTAGCTATAATGAAAATCATTTAACTGAGACTGAGGTTGATACACATCCACAAAGCATATGTGATTTCTGTCAGTCTTTCAACCAAAAAAGCAAAAGAAGTCTTTTTAGAACGGATTGGTAAACTGCCCTGAAGGATTTTAATGAATTGTTTACAAGTGAGTTTGTGTTTCTCACAGAAGAGAGAGCAGGTTGATAGAGTTGCCAAAGGTTTGAGTAAAGCATTTCCCTGCACATGCCAAAGATAGAAAGCTAACAACCTGGGAGGGAGCATATTTTGCAAGTTCCCAAAATAAGTTGGAAGGAGAGAAACCAAATAAGTAAGCCTGAGAGAATTCAGTGAGAATGAGGAAAGTGCTTCCACTCTTCTTCTTGATCTGACGGAAAGATGAGTGGATTGTCCCCCCCACCCTTTCAGCTGCTGTCAATCATGTGTCAATGGGTCCAGGAGGAGGCAAGGTGATGGAAGGCTGCCCTGTTATCCTGACTTGAACTCAGTCCACCTGCATCTAATGTATTTCCCCTCTTAACAAACGTGTGTGATCCGTGTAGTTCAGGGAGAGATAAAGAAAGTATTGCACTGTTAATCTGTGTTAAAACCAGTTGCTTTCTCCCTCTAAATACTGAGACAACATAAGACCCAGTCAGCCATTTTTTTTTCTGAGTCAGAGTGAAAGAATATTCAAATCATCTTCGTACTCTTGACTACCAGGCAAAAAAAAACTAATGTGTTTTGACACTCAGGGCCAGCGTGGCAGATGATTCCCCAGTGATGTGTCAGTCAACATCAATTTTCTCTAATGTCATTTTCTCGAAACAAATGATGGGGGTCATGAGTGGCAATGATCAAACCAACAGGTGATGATGCAGGGAATTAGTTCCTGGATCAATTCTATTTCGTCTCCTGCACCCCACTGCATGTTGGAGTGGAAATGGGAAAGAATTCCCTTTCTAAATGCTATTAGAGCCAGATGATTACAACAGATTTGACAGATTCACAAGAGCCGAAAGACGTGACTAAAGAGAGGGAGTAAACACGATCACTCGTGTCTTAGATTTACATGGCCACGGAGGAAATATGAAAAGCAAAACAAGAGGCTTTTCGCTCTTCCACTTGTCTCCTTCTCTATGCCTTTTGCTCTGGACTCTTGTCTCTTCTTTGCCTCTTGTGAATGTGTCCTTTTTCCAGGTCCTTGTGGTGGAGGTCTTTCCGGATCCATATTTTTTATATAATTTTGCAATCTATCTACCAAATATTGTTATTCTGTTCTTCCATAGTGTATTTACAATATTTGTGTTTCTGTCTACTTGAAATCTATTGTCCTTCCTGAGGTTTGTTCCCTTTCTTATATTTTTTAGGATAGAGGGTGTCCTATGTTGTACAGATTGTAAAGCCATTTGAGTCCATTTTGAGAGTCATATAAATTAAATTGACTTGAAAACATTTAAAAGAGCAGAAGGAAAATCACAGTGGCTGCATAAATAATCTCCATTATTTATAAAGTACAAAGGGCTTTTGATTTGACAAATGCCTGAGTCAAATAATTTGAAAGCCTCAAAATCATTGCAAGTACTCTGGGTCAAACTGCAATTATTTAAGATCATTTAAAATGCGATATGTTGAGAATGAGAAGATTTCAAATTGCCCTGGCTCTGCTGTGGGAAAGAACACGTCAAAAAAACAAACTGTAGATATTTCACACAAAACAACCCTAAATTGGCGTAGATTTATCTGGCCATCAAAACCCTCAAAAGGAATCACGCATTTTTCATGCTTCCACTCCATCTGTCTGACCCAATTAGCTTCTCCAGGCAGGTGAGCAGAGCTGCGATCAAAGTGAAGAACCTCTGTTGATACCCAGCGTGTTGCAGAGGGCGAGGTTTGACATGTTCTTTGACGACTTCTACACACTCTCCTGGCTGCCTGGGTCTACACACTTTTGTGCTTATGCACACACACACACACACACATACACACATAGCTGGGCTCCTCCGTTGTTCCAGCCACCTGTCAACATCTATAGAATGACAAGTACAGCCTCGCTTTCTCCCTCTCTCCTCTCATTTTTTATTTTTTCCTGCCAAAACTCTTTCTCCTCCTGAGGTGTCCCGCGAGGCCCTTTGGTCTGAGGAGATTCAGATAAGATAGGATATGCCACTGGAGCAGCCAATTTTCAGAAACTTAAAATGCTCTGAAAATGCTCTTGCCAGTCGAGGGCGAATCAATGAACATCCAGGCAAAGGAAGCATGTATTCAGAAAGAGGCCTATAATAATTCCCTACTTCAGATGGAGAAGTAAAACAATGGTAGAAAATCAATGGTGTCTAAATTTGAAGCACCCAAGCCATTTTTAGTACACCACATATTGAAACTCTGCATGGTTTTGATCGCCGCTGGAAAATCACACTCCCATCTGAGTATGTGTGAGTGTGCACCACACTTTATCGTACATGATCATTCATCCTACCTGTCATAGTCTCCGTTGCAAAGCGCTCTGACAGGGATGGAGAAGGGCTGCCACACAGGGTTCAGCGTGTTCTTCACCACTTCAGTCTTGTGGCAGATGGTGAACCTGGAGAGGCAAGTCAACAGACATATTAAATCTTAAAAGACTTCTTCTCGCAACACTTTGCTTGTCTGTCTGAACTTATCTTTATGGCTGCAGATTTCAAGGGATCTCAATCTAATTCTCTTTACCTTGGTTCCCTTCCTCTTTGATGTCCACGCCCTCCTGCCTGTCTTTGATAAGCTAAAATGAAAAACCCACTGAGAAGCAGAAGAAAAAAGAAAACAAACTCACGTGCCATCCTCGTTGCTTCTGTAGAAGACCATGAAGGGGTCTGACTTTCCAAAGAAGTCCTTTTTATCCAGTTTGTTGGCACAGAATTGCATGGTGGCGTAATCCTACAGACAGAGAAAAAAAACGGAGAATCAGAGAAATGAAAAGACAAAAAAGTAAAGTAAAAGTAAAATCCATGCTTCTGCCTCTGTTTGCCTCCTGTTGTTTGTTTATACATGCTGTGTGCCAAGATATAAAAGCACTGAAGCACCAAATAAAAGCAAAGTGCTGACTGAATTCTAATAAGGGCACTGCGAAAACCAGCCAGTGGGCTCTAGTTTCCAAAACCTGCAAATGCATTCATTACCATTTCTTTATTATGCAACTCCTGCATAACAACAGTGGATGGGATAAGGGATATCAAATTGAAAATACCTTGTTGTGCTGAATATAATCATACTAACAGTATGAGACCATGCAGAGGCACAGAAATGGATTCTAAAACCCTGCACATGGAGGAGGGGGGGTTGTGTACCAAAAGGATGTAGAGGGTATGAGTGCAGCTAATGATACATTAGAAAGGCTGGTATTACCATAATTATACTCATTTAGGCAGCATTTCAATGTGCGCTGCCATTATAAGGACAATAAGCATTCTCCATAATGCTCTTGGTTCCAGATCGTCTCCCTGTGGTCAAGGTATTAGTGTGCATTGTGTAATAATGAGGGTGCACAGGGGGCACAGACTGGACAGGTTAATGTCCACATCAGAAGAAACTCTGCAAAGTGTTCCCCATCCCTGACAGCCTTTATCTCAATGCTGCATCTGAGTATTTTTTGAAACCTTTCGGACCTCCAACATTCCACATATGCAAGTCAAGTGTCTCATCATCATATCTAAATGCGTGAGATGTGACACCAGAAGAGATTCAGAGCCTTCACCTTGCAAAAAGAAGAGCTGCCCTCCTGGGCTCTTAGGTTTTGAAGTGCAGCTATTAGATCTGAATCAGCACAGTGCTGGGCAGGGCCTCTATCGATTACTTTGACCCACATCAGTGTGGTGCGCTCTGCCTCTGAGCAGCCTCTCACTAACCCCCATTATACCACTTCATGCCTTGGCCACAGCCACAACACAGACTAGCCTCTTTCTCTGAGGCAACCGCTGAGAGAAAGATAGATGCCGCTGCGTAGATATGTAGTAAAATAACTCTCAAGAGTATTTTCCTGAAAATTCAGCTAACTTGATTATTGCAGTTGTTTCCCATCATAGTTTATGGTTCCAATCAACACTGTGAAAATGTTGAGAGAGAAAGCAAAGAGCTGCTTAAAAAAAAGCCACTGGTGGCTAAATGAAGCCGGGTTGTTGTGTATCTACTCTACTGTCATTCCCTACTATCATTTTCAGTTATTATTAGTATTTTCTAACAATCCTACAATGTAGGTAGAGCGCACATTAATGGAAGATTGTTTTTTTCCAATTTGTGTAGTTGGATACGGATCAGCCAAGTAACAGAGCCATCCACTGCGCAGTTTGTACCTGAGATGCGTCAAGCTCTCCCTTGATGGCTTTTCATGAGAACATCTAATTTACCAAGTTCCCACTGTGGCTCATTTTGTAGATTTAAAAAACCAACACATCATGTTAGAGGAGTTTGCTGAGGTCAGTTATCCAAGCACTTAAAAATACAGGCATCCTATAACTGTCCTACTTAGCCCTGACACAGCCTCTACAATTACACCATCATGGCAACACAGTGACTTGAGCCTTCATTAGGTAACAGATAACACATACCCACTTTGGTGCCTAAGCAGTGTCCTCTCATTAAGTGGGGAAAAAAGGCAGAACATTCATTTCAGCCACTGAGGTTTAAGAGCAGCAGGGGAATAGTGAGTGCAGTCTATATCCGTCTTTCCACTTTTCTGCTCTACCAAGATATCGTTGTATGGGGTAAGTGGCAGAGCAATTCACACCATCACTTTCAGAAAGTTGGACTGGTCGTTCAAGGATTACAAAGCAAACCAGACAATAGTTCAATTCAGGTTACGCAAGCTTATGGCATCCGCAGGATCGCATACTGTAATGAATCACAAAATGAATCATGAGTCAGAGGATTTTATTAATCAGAAATGAACACAATTCCTTTGTATGCTTCAGCCATCACTCCACTCATTTGCGTGTTTGTCTAATATGGCCGTAAGCCTGTAATGGAATAGATGGTTATGATCTGAGCAAATAAAATTAAAAAATGGGTCTTTTACTGCTGTCATATGTAAAGTATTGTGTGGTTTGCTTAGATTTAAATCAGCCAGAGCTGTGGCTGGACCGTGAGGAAGATTTGAGAGAGCCAGCCGATGCTTGGCATGTCATATGTGCCAGAGATAACGACAGCCAAGAGGAAGCCTTTGATCCATTGCAGAGGCTGTTGCTCTTTCTAATGATACCTGGCAAATCCTCGACGAAGGTGAGAGCCAACGCGCCTCCTGGTTAACAGTCCCTGCAGAACCCAGTCGATTCTCACTCTGCTGGTTTCAGTTTCCCCAAACAAGAGTTGCAGTGTTTACTTCAGGCAAAGCAGCAACTCTGCAGACTCCATTTATTGGTCACAGGTGGATTACAGAATAAACACCATCCACATGGATGGTAGCAATTCCAAACTGCTACAATTCACAGGTGTGGGACTTGTACTGACAGCAGGGCCTTCAGACTAACAATAATATGCCATTTCTCTCAGTTTCCTGTTCTTTACTCAAACCTGAGGTATTTCCAATCAGGGTCAAATTCTGTGTAAACAGGGCAGGTCTGGAGTGACATGTCAAGCCAGTGTCTCTCTAATTGAGTCTGGGAGAAAGGAAATGGTCATTTGTACCAGTAATGATCATTTGCATTTATATTACAAAACCGCTTCTTGAAGTGGTGCTTTGCAATGATTATGCTTACTCCTACCATCGCAGATTCAGTGCATCTGATGACTCACAGAAGCCCTCGAATGATTGTGAGCAGTGACACTTCAATCCAGCAACGAACAAATCAGTAATGGTTATCATGACAGTTTTATTATCAGCATGGCTTATCTGTCGCCCTCTAAAACTGTTTAGTTGTCAGGAAATTAATGACGCTATTAGTAAAAAAAAAATCAAGCACAACTACTGTTAAACCAGGTGCTTCTTACTCAACATGTATGACTGGGAGTTACAGAGCTTTGAATAATTAGATGCTTACATGCATTAGGATATTGTAAAACATTTAAACAATAGTTGCAGCTCAGTGGCTTTCTTAATAGCCTCAGAGGGAGGCCAGTTGTACTGGCCGATAAGTCTTGCTTCTTTCTCCTGCTTGGCTGGCAGCAGTATAATGTGATTATTTACTATCTTCATTTAGCAGTGTGGCGAGAAAGCCAATGGGCATTAGTGGACAGAGGTTATTAATGCCGACTCATAGATTAACACACCACCCATAGAAGGAAATGCCTGTTTTAGTGATTGGAATGATGCCAGGCTCATTAAAAAGCCATTCAAACTCACAGCATATTCACTGTGTACACAATTTCCCAATGACAAACACAATTGCATGGTGGCATGGCATATCCTGTTGGTTTAGTTGGACGGTTATGATATAATATATCTTACTGAAGTCAAGGCTATTAAACAGCCACTTCACTTCAGCAGGCTTGTGAACATTGCTATACATGCATTGTGTTACCATACATCACCATTTCCCCACAGTGTGTCACATACAATTTCACAGTGACATGCCATAATCTATCGAATAAAGTAAATATGTTTTATTAAGCTCTAATGTGCTGTTGTTAAAGGGCCCATTTCAAAATAGATCAGAGGACATTGCAAAACATTTATTATGAAACCTACAGTATAATCAAATTAAAAAAGATACTGGTTAAAACTTTTTAGACTTACTCTGCAGTTTCCCAGCTCCTCAGCGGACAAGATGATGGTCCCACATTTCTTCCCAGGTATGCCACTGTGAAAACAAACACATTTTATTCACTCTTACAACAACAATTGTTCACAGCAAAACCATCCATTCAATAAATGTGAAGGTTTGTGGATTAAGGCAACATTATGTAGTAATTTTATCTTAAGATAATAGCTTCTAAATCATGATTTTGATGTTAACACTGACTTGTAATAAGGTGAATGGCGTCATGGCTACAAAGAGACAGACCGGGTAAGAGCGGGCAAGAGTTGATATCGGACTGGCTTTTACTCAGTGGCTTAAGCTAAAAGTCCTGAAAGTTTGCAGGACAGATGCCGAGCTGGCCTTCTTGCTCTTGGACTAGTAAGTAATAACTTATTAGCTGGCTTGCTATGTCTTGTGTTGTTGCACTTGCTTAATGTTTGGCTCTGTTAGCAAAGTTTTTGACATGCAAATCATAACAAATGCATTTACAACAGCAGTGGTTTACACTCTAGGGAAACTGTAGGGGCAAAAAAACACCAAATCTTACATAATATTGCTTTAAATGGCATTGAGAAACACTATTAAATTCATGCAATGTAGCCCACAAACTGCATATACCTCTTATCTAAATTTCTGAACCAATGTTGGTGAGTCTAGTTATCTTGGGGTTATCGTGGGGTTCGTATTACAGAAACTTCCTAATCGGAAGATCCTATCCTAACTGCTTGGTAACCACAGCAATAAGGCCATTACAGATTAACAGTGCCGTAAATCTTAAATAAACTCTAATAACTTTAGGATAACTGTTAAGCTGTCCTAACTTTATTTGTCCACCAGGTAGTGTTTGCTAACTCGTTTAAGCTGCTCTTTTATTGCTTTTACAAAATCAAAAAAATGTCAACAGGTGGGAACTTATTGATTCTACCGATGTGTTTGATGACAATAGAAAGGCTGTAGGCGATGTAACGCTAGATAATGTCTCATAACATAATCTGAAGGCTTGATGTAACAAAAGTATCCTAATGCAAGATTTTGATAGAAGGAGATCGTTAAAGTCAAATAAAATACATAAAAAACATGATGACATTAGCCAGCAGCCTATTATTTTTACCTTCATTATTAACTTTCCCGAGAAGAGTACGGGTTTCTGCCAGGATCAGTGAGGGAGCACAGGAGGAGCCCGCACTGGTTTTCCTCTGCTCTCTGGATACAACAGCTGCCTTTCTCTTTGTATCACTTGTAAATGGACTTATTGACTGGGTCCGCTATTTTAGCCCACTCACTCTCGCCAGAGTTAAGCATTACTTGAATTTGGATTACTCGAAGGAGGTTACCAACACCTCTAAGTCATCTGATTTTAAGTTCAATGATAGTTTGATTCATTAACAAAACTACCGCAAAAGATTAAAAGCCTTTAGCTCGCGTGATGAGAAAAGTGGCATTGGTCGCTAGGTATACATAAAAGTTGATAACCGATGTTGGATTGAGTATTTAGGATTTCCTAACCTGAGATAAGACAGGATGAAGTAAGATAAGATAGGATTCCTAAAGTTAGTTAGGATTTGCTTCTGTAATACCAAATTGGGAAAAATCTAATCTTAGACTCTTCCTATCTTAACTTAAGACTTAAGATAGGAACTTTCTGTAATACGGCCTTCATTTAAATCAACCGGAGCTGCAGCTGAACTGTTCTGAATCTGAGCGAGACTCCACAGTGTTCTCACCTCCTGTATGCCATTTCCACAAGAGAGCATACCGGACACTTAAATAATAATAATTAGAACGATTAACATTCATAAGACTTTTTCTGCTTTCACACTTTACATTTCAGGCTGATAATGTGGGGTTTTTTACATAGAAATTACAGCTTTAATACAATAATCCATTACAGAAGGGCAAAGTGGCATTAGAGTGACAGTCTGACAACTCTAATGAGCACAAAATTTAGTTTCACCGCTGTAGACTGAATCAAAATAAGTTATAAATACTGACTCTTGAGGGTTTTAGTACAATGTGGAATAAAACAGCTGAAACAGAAAACTCATCTGATCCCTGTTTGCCAGCACCACATTGAGACTTTAAAGCTCTGAAAGTCTGCACTTGTTTACTGCTGATTCCCGCTTCAGCAGATGATCAAGACGTATCATAGCACACAAGAGGTTCCCTGCGTGTCTGTGTTTCAATGCATCACCTCTTCAGAAGCTTGCCAATCCGGCGCAAAACAAAAACACAGACAACTTTGCTCCAGAGTTTGTCCTAAATGTTATTTGGCTGTATTTTCTGAAGCGGAACAAAATGAGATTTATTTCGATATCCAGTCTCGCCCACTATGCATCCACTGAAGCTGTGAGGAGAAGGCAGAGAGCCCATTCCATCCGACCCAGAGCAAGACAGAATATCTACTTTCCAATCATGCAGCAACACATAAGCTGCTGACACTCCTGTCATCTTTTTGGATAAAGAAGGAAATTACACAGGAGTCCTGCTGTGGCCTTAGCAGGATGCCAATCATTAGAAGGTCAGTCTTGCTGCAGATCCTCATCAAGCTGTGACAGTTGATCTGACTGGCAGTTACGCTGGATTCCATACTGCTAAATGGTAGGCAGTCTCTGACAACGGCAGAAGACAAAAATGATCTAAAGCACAAACCTACAATGGCTGAACATACAGCAATTGGTTGACAGTAATGACCAATAATCCCTTTAAACTGACTAAAATGAGATCCAGTGATTGGTAAAATATCAGCTCCAGACAAGTTAAGATGCACCACCCTGCTCAAATCTCTGCTGCTGAGACGAGAGCCGGTACCAAAAGGGCAATGGGCTTTTAAATTAGGCATGCATTATTGAGTGCAGCATTTTCTCTGGCAAAGACTAGTTAACTTGAAGAGCAACCAAGCACTGAATGGATAAATACAGTTCCTGTCTGAGGCACATGAGTTCCTTTTTATTGCCCAGATTGACATATTTTCTGCTGGTTCTAACAGCTTCTGTAGTGAAATGTGACTGCTGCTGATATGAAGTGTCCTGCATCAAGAGGCCTCAGCACTCATTCACTGAGGGTTTCTTAGTGGGAAAACGCTTTGATGATGAAATTATGTGAAATGCGCTGCTGTGGTCCTCTTTGCTGCACTATCTGCTGTGAACAAGGCCTACAGTGTAACTGCTCTAAGGAACGGACAGGCTTTAATCAGTTGGTCATGTAAAATGTGTCATATTTATTTCCACTGATTCTGCTGCTACTCAAGCATTTGAATATTCACATAACAGTCAAACACCATAAGGGTATTTTGTTATGTTTAGCAAACAGGCAATCCCCAGCTAACCATCTCATGTCAACAAAACGATGTGACAGCATCGATGTATCAGGTTACATCATGAAAGACATGTATACAATATGTTTTTAGTCTTTTTTTCTGTATTTTGCCACAACTTTGTCACATAAAGCCAATTTATTCTTCTGCGTCAAGTCTACAACATCGTGAGCATTTACACTTGTGCATTGGTGTCTGCGTCTCTGCAATTACACCGACAAAACGCTAGTTAGAGGTGTGCTTTCTATTTTCCACTGTCAGCTGAGCCAGCTAACTCCCCCCCCCAATGAAAATAATATTCATGGGCTCTAGACTTTCCAAATGTTATTGGACCAAATGGATCAAGTACTGACGGCGAAAAATTTTCGCAGAGGTTGTGACAAAAAAAAATGTACCACTGTTTTATAGCCGCTGGTTGGCCACTAGTAATAAATTGAAGAAATTGGCTTTAAAGCACGGAGCACTTCCTGGGGGCTTGGAGGAAATGTGATGCTACCAAACCAACCAATCAAATTTCTTACAGCCTATAGACATTTGTGGAGAGGTGTGGCAGAGATTCGACACAGAAGTACAAATTGGCCTTAAGGCCCAATCTCAATATACAGATATATATGTGTACATCTGTAGCTAAGGGACAAAAAAGTAGTATTGACCAATCATGTTGAGCTTTAGTTGCATGCAGGTAAACAATCTGTAAAAAGCAAGAGTCAGAACACCATGGCCGAAATGCAATCTCTGCATCTCTCTTTAGCTTTTAATCAATCTTTTTAAAGATGTATCTGCATTCAAATCGTCTTCAGACAATAGCCAAATGGTTCTGAGATTGCTATTTGGACTGTAAACAATGACTGACGCATGGAAGTGGAACCTTGTCCCAAATATCTGCTGGCCACACTAGAAGATAAGTACATTAGTTACGTCAGTTGACTTAAGTTGAATACATTATGTTGATTTTCTCTCTAACATTCATTTATTAAATAACACACTGTCTGCACAAAATAAGTCAGTAGAGACTAAATGGCATGAAATGACACTTAAATAGCAAAACAGGCATTGTGATTACCTGCAAAATGACTTAAGACATGACGGTGTGTTATTCATATGGTGTTTGATGATACCAGGCCTGGCGGAGATATGTACTCTTGTGCACTCTTCTAGTTAATTATAAGTTGGTGAAAGTTTAACTGAGGTTCACATCAACAGATGTAATTTTAATAGTTACTGCAAAGTTGTGTTTGAAACACAGAAGCAAAAACAGAATGGAACATGTGTTAATATCAGCTGACATTTGGTGCTTAACACCACTGAAGAACAGTGTAGACTCAAGCCGTGCGACTGCTTGAGTCTACATTACTGTTCACTCTGCCCTCAGAGGCTATTACAGAAGTTCCAAGTACACCTTGACCTTAGCTCTACTCCTACAGTCAGGCAAAAAGTTCCACTTTAACACAATGAGTATTAGTCCAATAGGCATACCGCAATTTACTAAGCAAATTAATTTAGCCCAGAGGAGGATCCCTTTCCATTTTGGATACAACTTGAACTTTCTTCAATAATGTCAACACTGGCAGCTTGCCATGCTCCTTAGCCACACTACTGGGAAGGCAGTAAGAATAGCAAAAGCATTGGTATATTGTACATTTCAACACTTTCATTCTGTGCCACAGGGTCTCAAATTATGTCAAACAACAAAGGACTGAAACATGGATTAGATTTGTATGCAATGTATGTATGTAAGGTCAAGTAC